TGGACGCCAACTCGGGCGCCCAAATGCAGCTTGCACGCCCAACTTGGGCGTGCACTGCATAAATGGGCGCCCAAGTTGGGCTTTTACGCATTTTGGGGGGGTTTTTGGATTGTTTTGGAAAGTTTTGGGGGTTTTAATGTAATAAAATATTTTTTTGGGGGGTTTTGTTGAAAACCGCAAATAGCAATTTTCTAACCGCAAAAAGCAATTCCCTATATATATATATATATATATATATATATATATATATATATAAATTTAACAAACAAGTTTATTAAAAAAATGAAAAAAAAATAATAATAAATAAATAAATCAGCGAAAGTGATAAATGCAGAACCAGAAATATTGAATGCAGTTTGGTCGAAAATTGCATATAAAGGTAGTATATTACTTTCGCTTCTTCAGGATATGTCAAAGGATGATTTGGGCTTGGTTTTGTCCCTAGTTTATTTGGTGGCTAGGGGTATGTAAAATAACCCCTTTTTTATTAGGACAAAATGCACTTCACCCCTGTACATTTTTCATTTTCGCACTTCCCCTAAATTAATAAAAAATAATTAAGAAAAAAAAAAAAAGGATAATCCCTCTTCGAAATATTATATTGGCCTGGTTGCACTTTGCCTCATAAGCCAATTTTGGGAGGGGATTGAACAAGAAAAATAACATTTTAAAGGATCAGCATGCAAAAAGTTAGTGTTTTTAAGGGGATAAAGTGCAACAAAAATAACATTTAAAGGGGCAACATGCAACAAAAAATACTCAATTCCAACCGATGAATAATCCATCGGAACTTTGTTATAGGGGCAATGTGTAAATATTTTGAAGGAAGACATTCACTTTTAAAAAAATTGAGGGGTAAAGTGAGAAAATTAGAAATTTACAGGTGATGTGCAGTTTACCCTTTTAATACCGTAAATATTATTCTGTTACCAAAAAAAATCAATGCAGCAAAAGAAATTATCAAAGTTAGCGTCCTATTAGGATTATGAATCTAATATAATCCTTATCTATCGATTCAACTTCCATTAGGATTCTATCTACGTTATTCCTTATCGACGTTATAACTTAACGGAGTTCAAATTCTATTAGGATTCTATCTATTTTTTTCTGTTTATATAAATCATGAATCTCCTTTTAGATTTTTGTTATAATAAATTTCCAAAGTTATTATTTTTTCCTTCACAGAGAATGGAGAAACGAGTGGAAAGAGAAACCTCTCTCGAACTTCCTGAAGAACTAATCGAAGAAATCTTATACTATTTGCCAGCCAAAAACCTGTTGAGATTAAAGTGCGTTTCGAAATCGTGGAATTCTTTGATCTCCAGCAACAGCTTCATCAAAGAGCACGCCAAGAAATCGAGCACCAACGGAAATCTTGACCGTAGTAAGGTGATGTTAAACTACGATGACTCTCGTAAGAGAGCCAAATATATGCGTGCATTATGCCAACCGGGAATTCTCGTGTCGTGTCCTATTCAGAAATTTTTACATAACGAGGATCCCGTCGCCGCGGCTCTTGATAGTCATCACATGAAAAAATTGGGTTACGATATTCAAATCGAGGACGTTCGGATATTGGGATCGTGTAACGGGTTGATACTCATCAGCATCAATGATTGGAGATATTTATTTCTATGGAATCCTTTTACTAGAAAGATGAGGAATATTCCACACGTCTCTTGTTTTGCAGGATCGGAATTTTCTACTTGGACTGCACCACCTTTTACGTACTCGTTGGGGTACGATGAGTACGCGGACGATTACAAGGTTGTTTGCATAATTAGTGATTATGCGAAACCCTATCATACACATATCTATAGTTCCAAAAATAACACTTGGAAGAAAATCGAAAGTTTCGACAAGGGTGATTTGTTGCTAAACAATAGTGGCAAGTTTGTGAACGGGAAGCTGCATTGGCTGGCTGCGCAAGATGACGGGGTTTACGAGATTTTTTCTCTTGATTTGAGGAAGGAGAAATATGAAATTGTGGCTCGGCCAGAAAGCTTTTCGAAATATGTTCGACCGTTTTTCAGAAATATGGGAGGCTATCTTGGTTTGATTACTTTAAGTAGTAGCGTCGACGATATTAATGTTTGGGTTATGATGAAGTACGGGGTGAGAGAATCTTGGACTAAGATTTGGACGTTTTCGTATTTGGAATATTCGAAGACGGAAATTTGTGGGGTGTCGCCATTGTGTTTGAAGAAGAATGGAGATATCATAATCGCTTTTGAAAATAATGTGGTTGTTTATAATGGAAGAAACGAGTTGCGGAAGTCCCGAGTTGAAATGCTTGACGGTGTAATCGACTCGGTTGTTTATGTAGAAACCCTCGTTTCACGATTCGGTGATGAAGAACTTGGCCAATGATCATCATCAACATAGCTAGTAGGGTTCATATATAGGATTTGATTTCAATTTAGTTTTGGATATTAATATGATGCTTTTATTTTTTCATATTGAATATAAATATATTTTCCTCTAATTGTGAGTTTTTTATGTTCTTTTTATTCGTATTTAAATTATAAATAATGTATATAATAATAATGGTAATATACTGAATACATATAGAAAACGAAAATAAATAGATTTCAGTTCTTTTTTTATTTAAGTAATTATTTATATTATAATACAAATAATTTATAGCAACGAAAAATGAAAATATTAATATATAAAGTAAAAATATAATAAATCGACAAATCGAAAACCAACATAGATTTCACCCATCATAAAATCATGTGAAGCTTTTTTCAACCCCCAAACGGCGTCTAGTGATTATGTGTAGATCTACGGTTAAAATCCACCCGGTGTAAATAACCAGGTACGTTATTATGTCCATGATTAGTTGACCCTTAAACCTATCGTATTGATTATTCAATTATATATTTTCAGAAAATTACAGTTTTTGCCTCTCAAGTTTGTACTATTGTACATGTTTCCACATTTGGTCCCACATATTCACCAAAAATATATTTAGTTCCTCACATTTCAACACTTTTGGTCTTTACTCGTCAGTTAAGAATGACACATGCTTGATTCTGTTAATACTAACGGAAAATCAATGAAAATGGCCGAAAGTGTTAAATTGTTGAAATATTAGGAACTAAATCTTTTTTTTATGTGAACAAGGGGACCAAATATGAAATTGAGATAAACATTATGGTAGAAAAATGTAGTTTCCTAAATTTTCCACAACTTGGACTCTAAAGTAACATTCTCGATATTCCATGGTCAGAAATGTAAATAAAGTACAGTTGTGGAGGCAAGTGGTAATTTTTAAAATTATATAAGGAATAAATTGCTGCATATATTGGAATAAAATAAAATAAAAAATAGAAGGGGAAAAAGAAAAGATTACAGAGAATGGCAAAAACAGAGAGAAACCATCAATTATTTCCCCGAAGAAATCATCGACGAAATCCTCTGCAATCTGCCGGTAAAATCCCTCCTGAGATTCAAGTGCGTTTCGAAACGGTGGCGTTTTACGATCTATTGCGAAAAATTCATCGAACTCCACCTCAAGAAATCGAATTCGAAGCCCGATTCTCCCGTCATAAAACCCTGTTTGAATTCAACCAAAAGGTTCTTGCATGGCGTTAGCAGCCGTTCGTTCGATCTCCGGTCGATCCCACAGGCAGTGGGGAAGCCAGTGTAGGTCCGGGGGCCCATCAAATTTTAATATTGTTTACTACTATGTATGTTTTGTATAGCTTCTTTTGCTTTTGCATTGTCCTCCTATAATAAATGGATCTAAAGAAGTTACGAATTGTATCTTGGAATCAGTGGTGAATCCACCTTTGGGAAGTGATGGACTCGAGTCATCCTCAACTTTAAAAATCTTCATTGTATTGTATTACGTCTTTATAATATTAAATCCACCATTTTTTTATTATTTAATGCACCTAAAATCCAAATAAATGTGAAAAATACTAAAAAAATTATTTTCCTTATCTTCTGATTTTGTAAAAAAAGATCCGAATATACATATCCGGGCCCCTCAGTGATGAAATCCTGACTTCGCCACTTTCCACATAGAGTATCTTACTTAATTTTCTTTTATGCGTGTGCGAAAATTTTTTTGGGGATTGTGAATACAGTGAAAATAATATACGAAAAGGGCAAATTAAAGTAACGTCAAGGAATAAATAATTAGAAGAAAACAGTATCAAGAGAACAAACATTGGTTGAATTTAACGTCCACCTTCGGAATATTAAAATTGATCATTGATGCAAATATAAGTATATTAATCTACATACTCTTTGAATATTATTACCCTTAAATCGCAATTGATATAAGTATATCAATCTACATACACTTTGAATATTATCACCCTTAAGTCGCAATTATTAATTAGAAAATGACGAAATCCAACTAATCCTTACTACCAAATAACCCAAAGCAAGCGTTACAGATTTAACTTGATAGTAATATTAAGAACTAGAGATATGTAAAGCTAAGCAATTTGTAATTAGTTTAAGGGTTAATAGCATTTAGCCACCTATACTTTGCCCGTTTTTGCGTTTTACCACCTTAACTAAAAAAAGTTGCACGGGCACACCCAAACTCACTATTTTGATGCACATAACCACCTAAAGAGAATATTTCGGCGAATCTTCTCATTTTCCGGCACACGCCCGATGCACATGCTTAATGTAAGGATTTTTTGGTCATTTCCACTAAAAAAAATTGTGGGCCCTAATTATTTTCATAATTTTATCATCTTCTTCAAGCGGCTGGAGAGAAGAACTTCCGATCAAGATGAGGTGGTGGATATGGCGTTCTGGAGAAGAGCCATCAATTCAAGAAACTCCACCAATTTTATCTCCTCTTCGATGGCCGCTATTGCCAAGCATTCTTCAAACAACTCCACTAATTATTCTAAACATTATTCTCACAAGATAACTCCTCCCCCTCGAATCAGTATTTCACCGCCACCTCCTCCACGGCGGCTCCTCCACGGCGCTGGTGTCTTCCATTCGCCCCAGCACCTCCTCCATCAAGGACTCTTCTGCAAAGAACTCAGTTTCATGAGGCCGATTAGAGGGGGTTCTCGTGTACCAAAGACCTCATTTTCCTTCGCCGCCGCCCATCAACATCAACATCTAGAGGGTCGCTGCTAATGGTGGCGTCTTCTGCCGCAGGTAGACTGAATATATCGGATTGTGGCCCAAAAATAATTCTCCCATTTATCGTTATCATACTTCAAAATCGAGAACTAGGTTTTAATTCCGAGGAATAATTTTCTGGAAAATTTTGTTTCTCCTTCCCTTAACAATTATGACCCAATAATTGTGAAAAATCTATTTTTTTTCTTTAATCATAGATGACTGATAATTCCGAATCGGAAAGATGAATGTAATCAATACACCTGCCTCTATCTGTGCAACCCACTCATTCGGAATTATATCCTTGATCTAAAAAAAATAGATTATAAATTAGTATGAGATAGCTTAAAAAAGTGTGAATTTGCCACTATGAAATTCTCTACCGAACATAGGTTCTGGAGATTTAGATTTAGAGAGAGACGTACATCATAAAAAGTCAAAGAAAAAATGGGACTTGATTATTTTATTTTCCTCTTGCACAAGTCACAGCTCAGAAGTCGAAAAGGAGTGAGGAAAAAAGACTTTCTTTTTCTGATAAAAAAAATGGTGAGGAAACGATCATCGAATCAGAGAAACTTGTTGGGGTTTGTGGATTCTCACTGCTGATGAGGTATGAGGAACGGAAGAAAATCAGAGATGGAGGTACGAGATAGAGGGAAAATTGGGCGAAATTAGGTCTTTGGAAGGATATGCAAAGGAAAAGACAAAAAATCCCATGTACTTTCGCATGTGCAGCGTGCGTGCGCCGGAAAGTGGGAAGATTCGCCAGAATATTCCCTCCAGGTGGTTATGTGCATCAAAAATGCAAGTTTGGGTGCGACCGTGCAACTTTTTTTAGTTAAGGTGGCAAAGCGCAAAAACGGGCAAAGTCCAGGTGGCGAAATGCTATTAACTCTTAGTTTAATTAACCATTCTTCCTTGAATTGTAACGATTTTCAAAATTGCACATCACCCCTCGTAAATTTCTAATTTCCGCACTTTACTCCCTCAATTTTTTTTCTAAAGTGAATTGTCCCCCTTCAAAATGTTATACTTGGAGGTTTTAGCATCCGGCATCCCTATGTAATCTCTAATGGATAAAAAAAAAACATCCCGTGTCAAAACAATTAGCACATACCCATCTGTGTTGCATAGTCAACGACATTAAAGCCCCTACAAGCTGGTCGTGTGATACACTCATCAGATATGTGACTGGGGTTCAATTCGCTTGCGTGAAAAGACCCAAATACACTTTAAATTATAAATTTCAAAAATAAGCCCTAAATAAAGTTTTCAATTCATTCATTTGAAGTTTCAGAAAGGCCCTCATCTTCCTTAAGTCAGAGACTGATTCGCAATTTTTAAAACATACACTGAACATAGCTGACCGCCGATCTCCTTCCGGCGAACACTCTCTCCGGCCTCACCTCCCTCCATATCCTCAGCCCCCGCTTCGCCCCACCACTCCAACATTCTCTCCGACTAAATTCGCTTCGGTTTGGAGCTAAGATTCAAGCTCAGTGTTCTTCTGCAAAACCCATCAACAACCCGTGAAAATCCAAGAAAATATCAGCCATCATCAAAAGCAGAGCTTTTCAGAGAAAAATATCACGAAATAAACTATTTTTTGCATTTTTTTGCGTCTTCTCCGACGTCTCCCGATAGTAGCCCACCATTATGCAAGGTACATGATGCCTCCGGATCCAAATATCCCCGTTATTTTTCTGTTTTTTATCATCTTCTCCGATGATGGCGGCGATTAGGGCTTTGGCGGTGGTGGCGATTGGAGTTTTGCGACGAGAAGAGTGGAGGAGGCGGGTGGTGGAAGGAAGGGCGGCGGTGGCGTGAAGATGTGATTGCCAGAGGTGGTGTTGTGAATTTGGTGGTGGTGGTGGTGGTGATTTCAATTGGGAAGAAGAATTTTGGGGAAGACAAGTTCTTTCTCTTTGTATGGAGGCAGCCGCTTGACGAGGTAATTGCCGGTGGTGGCGGTGGGAATTTGCCGGTGATAATGACAATTTCAAAGGAGGAAGACACAATTTACTCTCTTTTCTTTCCCAAAAAAAAAAAATGTGTTTTTTTTTTATTTAAGAAATTTTAAAAATTGCAATTCGATCCAAAGTTTTGGACTAATTATACTTAAATTCAATTTGATTTTATGTTTGGGAAAATTACAATTTAGTCCATTAATTTAAAGTTTTAGAAGTTTAGTAAAATTGCAATTTGGTTTCTATTATATTTTTAATATTATTGTGTTAGACTGTAATATTATTCTGTTACCATCAAAAAAAAAAAAAAAAAAAATCAAGCAAAAGAAATTACCAAGTTAAGAGCGTCCTATTAGGATTATGAATATAATAATCCTTGTTCCTTATCGGCGTTATAACTTAACGGAGTTCAAATTCTATTAGGATTCTATCTATTTTTTCTGTTTATATAAATCATGAATCTCCTTTTAGATTTTTGTTAAACTAAATTTCCAAGTTATTATTTTTTTCTTTACAGAGAATGGAGAAACGAGTAGAGAGAGAAACCTCCTTTTAGATTTTTGTTAAACTAAATTTCCAGGTTTTTATTTTTTGTTTACAGAGAATGGAAAAACGAATGGGGAGAGAAACCTCAACCTCTCTCGAACTTCCTGAAGAACTAATCGAAGAAATCCTATATTATTTGCCAGCCAAAAACCTGTTGAAATTAAAGCGCGTTTCGAAATCATGGAATTCTTTGATCTCCAGCAAAAGCTTCATCAAAGAGCACGCCAAGAAATCGAACACCGACCGAAATCTCGACCGTAATAAGTTGATGTTAAACTACGATGACTCTCGTAAGAGAGCCAAATATATGCGTGTATCATGCCAACCGGGAATTCTCGTGTCGTGTCCGATTCAGAATTTTTTACTCAACGATGATCCCGTCGCCACGGCTCTTGATAGTCATCGCATGAAAAAATGCGGTTACGATATTCGAATCGAGGACGTTCGGATATTGGGATCGTGTAACGGGTTGATACTCATCAGCGTCAATGATTGGAGATATTTGTTTCTATGGAATCCTTTTACTAGAAAGATGAGGAATATTCCACATGCCGCTTCTTTTACACGATCGGAATTTTCGAGCGTACAACCTTTTACGTACTCGTTGGGGTACGACGAGTACGCGGACGATTACAAGGTTGTTTGCATAATTAGTGATTATGCGAAACCCTATCATACACATATCTATAGTTCCAAAAATAACACTTGGAAGAAAATCGAAAGTTTCGACAAGGGTTATTTGTTGCATAAAAATAGTGGCAAGTTTGTGAACGGGAAGCTGCATTGGCTGGCTGCGCAAGATGACGGGGTTTACGAGATTTTTTCTCTTGATTTGAGGAAGGAGAAATGTGAAATCGTGGCTCGGCCAGAAAGCTTTTCTAAATATGTTCGACCGTTTTTCAGAAATATGGGAGGCTATCTTGGTTTGATTACTTTAAATAGTAGCGTCGACGATATTAGTGTTTGGGTTATGCTGAAGTACGGCGTGAGAGAATCTTGGACTAAGATTTGGACGTTTTCGTATTTGGAATATTCGAAGACGGAAATTTGTTGTGGGGCGTCGCCGTTGTGTTTGAAAAAGAATGGAGATATCATAATCGTTTTTGAAAATAAGGTGGTTGTTTATAATGGTAGAAACGGGTTGCGGAAGTTCCGATTTGATATGCTTGACGGTGTAATCGACTCGGTTGTTTATGTTGAAACCCTCGTTTCACCATTTGGTGATGAAGAACTTGGCCAATGATCATCAACATAGCTAGGAGGGTTCATTGGATTTTATTTCAATTTAGTTTAGGATAGAAATATGATGTTTTTAAAATTTTTTGGATTTGAATATAAATATATTTTCCTCTAATTGTGAGCTTTTTTATTTTCTTTTTATTCGTATTTAAATTATAAATAATGTATATAATAATAATGGTAATATAGTGAATACATATAGAAAACGAAAATAAGTAGATTTCAGTTCTTTTTTTTATTTATAGTAATATTAAGAACTAGAGATATGTAAAACTAAGTAATTTGTATTTAGTTTAATTAACCATTCTTCCTTGGATTGTAACGATTTACAAAATTGCACATCACCCCTTGTAAATTTTCTGTCAAAACAATTACCACATACCCCTCTGTGTTGCATAGTCAACGATTGGGGTTCAATTTGTTGGCGTGAAAAGACCCAAATACACTTTAAATTATAAATTTCAAAAATAATCCCAAATAAAGTTTTCAATTTTTCTTCAATTCAGTCACTTGAAGTTTCAGAAAGGCCCTCTTCTTCCTTAAGTCATTGGTTGGTTTGCAATTTTCAAAACATACACTCATCAATTAGGGCATCTGTAGTGCCACTCCCAATTTATTATTTTTGTCGGAACTTTAAAATATTGGGAGTAATTGATGATTTTAACTCCTCTAGTGCTTTTCTCCAGCCTCCATAAATGTGCCATGTGGCAAGGGACTCCCAATTGACGTGCCCACAGTTAATCCATGGTTGGGGAGTGTATGTGGAGCCCTTTTGATTATTTTAATGTATTTTCTGAATGCGTGCCAACCAAATCTGACTTTAATTATTTATTTTTTCTTTTTCTTTTTTTCCATTATGATAAGTAATAATTAATTCTAATAATTATTTAATTATTCTATAATTTTTAGAAATTACAAATTTAAATTTCATTGATTTTAATATTAATAGTAAAATAAATATTATATTTAAATTCATTAATATGGTAAAAAAAACTTATATTTTAATTTTAATAATTCAATTTCACTATAATAATACAAGAAATATTTATTTTACAATTAAATCTAAATTTTATAAATTCGTTAATTTTAATTTATTTGATTGTTCCACACATGTCTCTCATATTCATAACTTTTATTATAAGAAATTTCAAAATAAATTTTCATGAAATTTAATTTTACTAAATTCGATCACATTATAAAATATAATATGAACAATGTGAAAATAAAAGAACATTAAATCACAACTACAATTAGAAATACACATAAACAATAAATATTTAGACATCTTCTCCTCCGTAGATATTCCACAAATGGTTCATTAAATCAGATCTCAAATCTTCATTGGTTCATCGATTGCGGATCCGACTAAGACGTGCTGAGATATAGGCTGCCAAAATCGATGGATCTCGTTCATATTGAAGGGGGCGGAAATTCTCTTCTGGAAGTGGTGCCCATGGTTTGAGGTCAGTTCCACGTTCATCTTCTATAATCATATTATGGAGTATAATGCATGTTTTCATTATATTACATATATCCTCTTTTGATCAATATCGAACGGGTCCTTGCGTTATACCCCATTTAATTTGTAGAGCACCAAATGCACGCACCACGTCTTGTCTAACTGATTCTTGTTTTGCCGCAAATAATTTTTCTTTCGCAGTGGTGGGATGAGCAATGGTTTGAATAAGAGTTGCATATTTGGGGTAAATACCATCAGTTAAGTAATAACCCATCGTATATGAACGACCGTTCACCGTATAATTAACTGGAGGCATTCTACCATGTATGATATTATCAAACAGTGGAGAATGATCCAAGACATTAATATCATTATTTCCACCCGACATGCCAAAAAAAGAATGCCAAATCCATGTATCATGCGATGCAACTGCTTCTAAAATTAAAGTTGGTTTGTGGTGGTGACCCCTGTGTGTGCCGTGCCAAACAGTTGGACAATTTTTCCATTGCCAGTGCATACAATCTAAAGATCCAAGCATACCTGGAAAACCTCGGGATTCACCTTCTTGTAGGAGACGATGGATATCATGTGCATTTGGTGACCGCAAGTACTGTTCTTCATAAAGTTCAATTATCGATGAACAAAACTCTCTTAAAGTTTCATTAGCAGTGGCCTCCCCTATTTTCAAATATTCATCACAGTAATCAGCGGATGCTCCATAAGCAAGAATCCGAAGTGAAACAGTTATCTTTTGAATAGATGAGAAGCCAAGACGACCACGTCCATCTCTCTTTCGGATGAAGTATCTGTTATGCTTTTCAATATCAATCTGAATATGAAGAAACAACTCCCTGCGCATCCTAAAACGCCTGCGAAAATAAGATGATGGAAAAGTACAATTTTCAGCAAAATAATCTTTCCATAATAAGTTATGACTCTCTCGCGATCACGATATATATATTGTCGCTGATGCGGTTGTTCCTCAGATGCTAAAATTAACCCAGGGATAAAATTAATCATTTCTTGAGATTCTTTCTCCATACGAAGAGAAAGAAGTTCTTCCTCCTCTGAAGATGAAGATGAAGATGAAGATGAAGATGAAGAGCTAGATGATTTAATGTGAGCAAATTCATTTGAAGGAAACCATCCAAATGGAGAAGCCATATTATGGGATAAAATTTATTGTGCATATACAATTCTATCAGAAGAAAATATTTATAGAAGCTGGAAAATCAAGATAATTGAAGTTAAGAAAATCATTACAATAATTGAAGTTGAGAAACCAATAAGATAATTGAATTTAAAAGGATAAAATAATTAAAGTTGAGATACTCGAGAAAATAATTGAGGTTCGGAAACCAATGAGATAATTAGAGTTGGAAAAAAAGTAAAAAATAATTGACAAAATATCTGAAATTGAGATAATCGAGAAAATAATGCACTTATAGACAGTCTGTAAAGTTGAGAAAAAATAATTGAGGTCTTCTGACATGTCTACAACACTAAAATTGAGAAAATCGAGAAATCTATCCACAAAATCTATCCACTTAAAATCTATCCATATATTTATCCACTAAAAATCTATCAACAAAACATATCCACAAAATATCTATCTACAAAATCTACTGACATGTTAAAATCTATCTACAAAATTCTATAAATACTAGTTGTACATGATGTTATTATTCATCCCTCCGGCTTACTTATAACAATAAAGTCTTTCAATTTACTATGAATCCACGTTTTCCTTCAATTATGGAATCAATCCTGAGTATAGCTCTCAACCACCACCACAAAACGAGTCTCAAACATTTCCTCAACAATTTGCATACAATCCTTACAATTTCAATACACAATCACAACCATTTTCACAATTTTCCTATAATCCTTTCGTCTATGCGGGGTCATCTCAAATACCAAATCAAGAGCAATCACAAAGTACAAGCAAATCAGGTAAAAAGACCAAGGCTCTGGGGCGAAATAAAAACTGGAATATGGAAGAAGATGAAGCATTGTTGGTTACGTGTTTCAGAAGATGCAATAGTTGGTACTGACCATCAAAGAGGTAGATTGTGGGAGAGAATTAGAGTGGAATTTATATCTATTTTAGAATATGATCCAGGTAGAAATGCGTCAGGGCTAGCGCACCGATGGAAAATCATTCAACATTGTGTAAGCAAATTTTCTGGGTATGTTCGTACGATTGAGAGAGCTCAACGTAGTGGAAACAATGCAGAAGATAATGTAAGTAAATAAAATTCATATATGTATTTATATATAATTTTCGTTCAACCATTAATATATTATGATTTTTGTTATAGATGATTGCATCAAAACAACTATACAATGACAAAGAAGAGCATCAATTCAAATATGACTCTTGTTGGATGATTTTGAAAGACACTTCCAAATGGTATAATTATACCATTGAGCAGAAGGGAAAGCAGAAAAAAACTTCCCAAAAAAAAAAGGGTTGAAATTGATTTGGATGATGATGAAATTGAAGATTCATCAAATACCCAACCTCCATCATCTGATCAATCAGCCCCAGCTACGACTCCAACTTCAACCGGCCATGAAATTGATGATGGGGTATCTAATGATGGCGCACATGGACTACCACGTCATCATGGTCGCAAAACTGCAAAAAATGCTAGAAGAAAGAAAAATCTCGATTCCATCGATTTATTTGTAGAGGAGTTTTCTAATATGAGAAAAGAACAATCAAGTCGCTTTGAAGAGGAGTAGGGCATTAGGAGAAATGCAATTGAACAGCAGAAATTACAAGCTAAAATAGAAACAAAGAGAATGAAAATTGCAGCTAAACAAGAACATCAACAAAAACAACGCGAGCAAAAAATAATGTTGATGGATCCTCAATCGGCACCTACAGAGGAAGGTAAAGCTTGGATTATTGAACAACAAATAGAGATCTTAAGCCGTATTAGAAAAAATAAAAACTAATTTTATAAAGTCTTTTTCTTTAATCTATTTATGTCTAGAGTTGGAGGAATGTTCTAACAAGCTTGTTCAATTTACTGCAATCTATTATGTATTTTTGTTAATTTTATTTCATTTATGTTTGTTGAATGTTTTGTATTATTTTATCAATATAAATATAGATACAAACAAAATAAAGTAATACATATTACAACGTAAGAAAAATGGTGACTAATATTTAATTAATGTAATCTAATACGAAATTAATTTAATTAAATACAAAGAATCAAATTTAATTACATTATTATATTTACTTTCTTAATATTTTATTATTATTTAAGATATTTGAACAAATTTTTAGGGAGTTTTAAATGTACCACTAGAGAACTTTTTTTTTAGGGAGTGTTAAATGTGGGTCCTACTTTTTAGGGAGATAGTAAATTGTGTAGGTGGCATGTGGACCCCACTATTTGGGGAGTGTTTTATTGGGGTTTCACTACATATGCCCTTATGTGATTGGGGTTCAATTTGTTGGCGTGAAAAGACCCAAATACACTTTAAATTATAAATTTCAAAAATAATCCCAAATAAAGTTTTCAATTTTTCTTTAATTCAGTCACTTGAAGTTTCAGAAAGACCCTCTTCTTCCTTAAGTCATTGGTTGGTTTGCAATTTGATACACTGAACATAGCTGACTGTCGCTCTCCTTCTGGCGAACACTCTCTCCAGTCTCACTTCCCTCCATATCCTCAGCCTCCGCTTCGCCCCATCACTCCAACATTCTCTTTGAAGAAATTCGGTTCGGTTTGAAGCTAAGATTCAAGCTCATTATTCTTCTGCAAAACCCATCAATAACCCGTGAAAATCCAAGAAAATATCTGCCCCCATCGAAAATAGAGTTTTTCAAAGAAAAAAATTCACGAAAAAAAACTATTTTTTGCATTTTTTGGAGTCTTCTCCGACGTCTCCCGATAGTAGCTCCCCATTATGCAAGGTACTTGATGCCTTCGGATCCAAACCTCCCCGTTGTTTTTCTGCTTTTTATCATCTTTTCCGATGATGGCGTCGATTAGGGCTTTGACAGTGGTGGCGATTAGAGCTTTGCCTGGAGTTTAGTAATTTGTTGGGCTTGCTAAGATTCTAGAATATGCAAAAGAAGAATCGGCTGGTGTGGAACTGGCAAGGAAAAGTTGGCGGTCGAGGGAACGACAAGAGCGGAGGAGGCGGGTGGTGGAAGGAAGGGACGGCGGCGGAGGCATTGGCGGTGGCGTGAAGATGTGATTGTCGGAGGTGGTGTTGTGAGTTCAATGGAGAAGAAGAATTTTGGGGAAGACATGTTCTTTCTCTCTGTATGGAAACAACCGCTTGACGAGGTGATTGCAGGTGGTGGCGGTGGGAGTTCGCCGGTGGTCGCGACAATTTCAATGGGGAAGACGCAATTTACTCTCTTTTCTTTTTTTTCCTTTTTTTTCCCAAAAAAAATTTGTTATTGTTTTTCCTTATTTAAGAAATTTAAAAATTGCAATTTGATCCAAAGTTTTGGATTAATTATACTTGAATTCAATTTGATTTATGTTTTGGAAAATTACAATTTAATCCCCTAATTTAAAGTTTCAAAAGTTTAGTAAAATTGTAATTTGGTCTCTATTATATTTTTAATATTATTGTGTTAGACTGTAATATTATTCTGTTACCATAAAAAAAATAAAAATAAAAAAAATTAAGCAAAAGAAATTACCAAGTTAAGAGCGTCCTATTAGGATTATGAATATAATAATCCTTGTTCCTTATCGGCGTTATAACTTAACGGAGTTCAAATTCTATTAGGATTCTATCTATTTTTCTGTTTATATAAATCATGAATCTCCTTTTAAATTTTTGTTAAACTAAATTTCCAAATTATTTTTTCCTTTATAGAGAATGGAGAAACGAGTGGAGAGAGAAACCTCTATCGAACTTCCTGAAGAACTAATCGAAGAAATCCTATACTTTTTGCCAGCCAAAATCCTGTTGAGATTAAAGTGCGTTTCGAGATCGTGGAATTCTTTGATCTCCAGCAAAAGCTTCATCAAAGAGCACGCCAAGAAATCGAGCACCGACGGAAATCTCGACCGTAGTAAGCTAATGTTAAACTACGATGAATCCTATAAGAATGTCCGATATATGCGTGTATTTTGCCAACCGAGAAGCCTCGTTTCGTGTCCGATTCAAAATTTATTACGTAAGGGCGATCCCGTCGACACGGTTCTTGATAGTCATCGCATGAAAGAATCCGGTTACGATATTCAAATCGATGACGTTCGGATATTGGGATCGTGTAACGGGCTGATACTCATCAGCGTCAATTATTCGAGAAAATTATTTCTATGGAATCCTTTTACTAGAAAGATGAGGAATATTCCACATGCCGCTTCTTTTACACGATCGGAATTTTTGAGCGTACAACCTTTTACGTACTCGTTGGGGTACGATGAGTACGCGGACGATTACAAGATTGTTTGCATAATTAGTGATTATGCGAAACCCTGTCAGACACACATCTATAGTTCCAAAAATAACACTTGGAAGAAAATCGAGAGTTTCGACAAGGGTGTTTTGTTGGATGATACTGGCAAGTTTGTGAACGGGAAGCTGCATTGGCTGGCCGCGAAAGACGACGGGGTCCGCGAGATTTTTTCTCTTGATTTGAGGAAAGAGAAATATGAAGTTGTGGCTCGTCCAGAAAACTATTCGAAACGCGTTCGGCCGTTTTTGAGAGAGTTGGGAGGCTATCTTAGTTTGATTAGTTTAAGTAGTAGCGTCGACGATATTAGTGTTTGGGTTATGATGAAGTACGGCATGAGAGAATCTTGGACTAAGATTTGGACGTCTTCGAAATTGGATTATCCCGGGAAGGTAATTTGTGGGGCGTCGCCGTTGTGTTTGAAGAAGAATGGAGATATCACGGTCGCTTTTGGAAATAATGTGGTTGTTTATAACGGAGGAAACGTGTTGCGGAAGTCCCGAGTTGATATGCTTGACGGTGTGATCGACTCGGTTGTTTATGTTGAAACCCTCGTTTCACCATTTGGTGATGAAGAACATGGCCAATGATCATCAACCTAGATAGGAGGATTCATAGGAATTTGTTTCAATTTAGTTTAGGATAGAAGTTTGATGTTTTTTAAATTGTTTGGATTTGATCAATATAAGTATATTTTCCTCTAATTGTGAGCATTTTTATTTTCTTTTTATTTGTATTTAAATTATAAATAATGTGTATCTTATATCTTATATATAAAAGAAAGAAACGCTAGGGCAACCTAAGAAATCCTAATGGCATTCTCTCTCGAGAACGAACTAGAAGATTCCATCACCCCGTCTCTCGGATATCAGCTCATATTGAAACTCTTACGATATCGAAATCGAGGAGATTCGGATCTTGGGTTCTTGTAACGGGCTAATATTCATCGCCATCAATTGGGGTTTTTTTTATTTTAATTTATGGAACCCTTTTATGGGCAATATTAAGGAGATTCCTTTTCTTTGGAATTTTCGAAATTTTATATGCGGCTTCGGGTACGTCGAGTACCGTAGTGACGACTACAAGGTTGTCTGCATTAAAAAGGAGAAACCCTATCGCACGTATATCTATAGTTCCAAAAGTAATTCTTGGAAGAATATTGAATATTTCGACAAGGGTGTTTTTCTTTTGAATGATACGGGCAAGTTTGTGAACGGAAGGCTGCATTGGCTGGCTGTGCAAGAAAACGGGAATCGAGAGATTATATTGTTGCTCTTAATTTGGTGAAGGAGAAATACGAAATCGTGGGCCGGCCGAAAAACTACTCGAATCGTGTTCTACCGAGTCTTGAAGATTCCGGAGGCTACCTTAGTTTGATAAGCCTATGCAATAGGTTGGAGGATATTAGTGGTTGGGTTATGATGAAGTATGGTGTGGTAGAATCTTGGACTAAGATTTGGATGTTTTTCGGATTTTACTGATCCGGGGAAGCAAATTAGTCAGGTGACGACGTTTTGTTTGAATAAAAACGGAGATGTTGCGGTGGCTTTTGGAAGTAATTTGCTTGTTGTTTATGGTGGGAAAAACGTGTTGCGTAAGTCGCGAGTTGAGATGCTTGATTATATGAATGATTACGTTGTCTACGTCGAAAGCTTAGTATGGCCGTTTGGTGACGAAGAAGTTGGCATATGATCATCATCATCTTATGAGGATCAATTAGGGCTTGATTTTAGTAATTTGGTTAGATATGAATATGTTTTTCTTTTATTGCTATTGTTTATGCTTGCTAAGAAGTAAGAACTTGACATTTAAGATTACTCATTCATTTGCAAAAAAATGTCCAATTTAAATGTCAATTAATTATAAATTATCTCTAAACCATTAAATTGATGCAAATAGTCTGGAGATCATAGCTTAAAATTGTTTATTTTAAGCAAAGCAAAAATATATAAAAAAAACATATGTTTCAAATATTTTTACAAAATAGATTATAAGCCAGAAAATACTCTCCTTGCAAAAACTTAACTTCTATTAAGAGTATTTGATAATACTAGTTGATGAAATTAAGTTTTAATTACTTTCATGTACCATTAATTCAACCATATACAACACACTTTAATTTGGATTTTTGCTAAACTTGCTAAGATTCCAGAATTTGCAAAAGAAGAATCGGCTGGGGTAGAACTGTCAAGGAGAAGTTGGCGGTTGATAGGACGAGAAGAGTGGAGGAGGGGGGTGGTGGAAAGAAAGGGCGGCGGTGGCGTGAAGATGTGATTGCCGGAGGTGGTATTGTGAGTTTGGTGGTGGTGGTGATTTCAATGGAGAAGAAGAATTTTGGGGAAGACACAATTTTCTCTCTTCTCTTTTCTTTTTCCTTTTCTTTCCCATAATAAATGTGTTTTTATTTTCTTTATTTAAGAAATTTTAAAAGTTGCAATTTGATCCAAAGTTTTGGATTTATTATACTTAAATCCAATTTGATTTTATGTTTGGGAAAATTACAATTTAGCCCCCTAATTTAAAGTTTTAGAAGTTTAGTAAATTGCAATTTGTGCTCTATTATATTTTTAATATTATTGTGTTAGGCTGTAATATTATTCTCTTACCATAAAAAAAAATCAAAAAAATCAAGCAAAAGAAATTACCAAGTTAAGAGCGTTATGAATATATAGGGTAAACTGCATAAGACCCCCTGTGTTAGGGAAAACTTGCACCAAATCCCTATGTGTTAATTTTATTGCATAGAACCCCCCTGTGTTTTATTTTATCTTGCATGAAATCCCCCATTACGTTAACAATTAACACCGTTAACTATTTAGGGGATTCCATGCAAGTTTTTCATAACACAAGGGGGTTTGGTGCATGTTATTTATAATACAAGTGGAATTTATATAAAATTTATTTATTTATTTAAATGTTGAATTATTTTTTTGAAATTAATTCAAATACATTTATTCAATTTTTGAAAGTCGAATTTTCAAAATTATTAATATAATTATTTATATCAAAACTATATTCAAATTTTCATATTATTTATATTCTTTATATAATACATCCTAACTAATCTAGGTAATCGAATCATACTAGAATCCTAATATTAGAATATAATAATCCTTATTCCTTATCGACGTTATAACTTAATCAACGGAGTTCAAATTCTATTAGGATTCTATCTATTTTTTCTGTTTATATAAATCATGAATCTCCTTTTAGATTTTTGTTAAACTAAATTTCCAGATTGTTTTTTTTTTCTTTACAGAGAATGGAGAAACGAGTGGAGAGAGAAACCTCCCTTGAACTTCCTGAAGAACTAATCGAAGAAATCCTATACTTTTTGCCAGCCAAAAACCTGTTGAGATTAAAGTGCGTTTCGAAATCGTGGAATTCTTTGATCTCCAGCAAAAGCTTCATCAAAGAGCACGCCAAGAAATCGAGCACCGGCGGAAATCTCGACTGTAGTAAGCTGATGTTAAACTACGATGAATCCTATAAGAATGTCCGATATATGCGTGTATTTTGCCAACCGAGAAGCCTCGTTTCGTGTCCGATTCAGAATTTATTACGTAAGGGCGATCCCGTCGACACGGTTCTTGATAGTCATCGCATGAAAAAATCCGGTTACGATATTCAGATCGAGGACGTTCGGATATTGGGATCGTGTAACGGGCTGATACTCATCAGCGTCAATTATTTGAGATATTTATTTCTATTGAATCCTTTTACTAGAAACATGAGGAATATTCCACACGCCTCTTCTTTTACACGATCGGAATTATTGAATGCACCACCTTTTACGTACTCGTTGGGGTACGATGAGTACACGGACGATTACAAGGTTGTTTGCATAATTGGTGATTACGCGAAACCCTATCATACACATATCTATAGTTCCAAAAATAACACTTGGAAGAAAATCGAAAGTTTCGACAAGGGTATTTTGTTGGATGATACTGGCAAGTTTGTGAACGGGAAGCTGCATTGGCTGGCCGCGCAAGATGACGGGGTTCGCGAGATTTTTTCTCTTGATTTGAGGAAGGAGAAATATGAAGTTGTGGCTCGGCCAGAAAACTATTCGAAACGCGTTCGACCGTTTTTGAGAGAGTTGGGAGGCTATCTTAGTTTGATTAGTTTAAGTAGTAGCGTCGACGATATTAGTGTTTGGGTTATGATGAAGTACGGCGTGAGAGAATCTTGGACTAAGATTTGGACGTCTTCGGAATTCGAATTGGATTATCCGGGGAAGGTAATTTGTGGGGCGTCGCCGTTATGTTTGAAGAAGAATGGAGATATCACGGTCGCTTTTGGAAATAATGTGGTTGTTTATAACGGAAGAAACGTGGTGCGGAAGTCCCGAGTTGGTATGCTTGACGGTGTAATCGACACGGTTGTCTATGTTGAAACCCTCGTTTCACCATTTGGTGATGAAGAACATGGCCAATGATCATCAACCTAGATAGGAGGATTCATAGGAATTTGTTTCAATTTAGTTTAGGATAGAAGTTTGATGTTTTTTAAATTGTTTGGATTTGATCAATATAAATATATTTTCCTCTAATTGAGAGCTTTTTAATTTTCTTTTTATGTGTATTTAAATCATAAATAATGGTGTATAATAATAATGATAATATAATAATTAATACATATAGAAAACGAATTTAAATTGATGTCAGTTCGTTTCTTATCTATGTAATTATTTATATAATAATACAAATAATTTATAACAATAGAAAATTATAATATTAATATAGAGTAAACTGCAAAAACTACCCTAAGGAAACTGAAATTTTAAAAACCATAAATCTGGGGTTAAATTGAAGATTCCAAAAACTTTAATTTTCTTTTCCAAATCCGCCGCTACAGTTCTCCCCCAAATCCGCCATTGAGATAATTGAAATTTATAATATACATAAACATCAATTATATATCGACTCAAAAAAAGAACTTCAATTTTATTTTATATATCTACCTTTTTCCCGTCAACCAGTTTGTGAAATGACAAAAATGCTCCGCGAGTTTTTTGCAACAAGAAAAGTCCCAGCCCTCAAACTTGTAATTTACAAAAGTAAAAGGACCAAATTGATTTTTTTTTTAAATTCAAGAAGCTTAAAGAGGTTAAATTGCCATTCCCCTCTCCACTCTCCTCTTCAAAAAGGCACATGGGTGTTTTTGCTAATACTTTTATGAAAGGGGGGAATTTCAAAATTGCGAATTCCACAGGGGTAGTAAATACAATAATCTCCTAGTTTAAATAATGAAATGCTATTTGCGGTCACAAAATTGCTATTCGCGGTTTCTAACAAAACCCCCCAAAACTTTTAAAAATATCTAAAAACCCCCCAAAACTGCAAATAGCAAAAAAAAAAAAAAAAAATCAAAAATTCGAAATCAAGCTTGAAGAAGGGTTGGGCTTCGATTTTTTGATGTAATTTTGACTCTTTTATGTGTAATATGCATTGGGTAGGTCGATTACGGAACCAATTTCATGTTAAAAAGCCCTACAAATCGATTTGTAGGGTTTTTTTTTTCGCAAAAAAATGTTCG